TAGATAATACGAAGGACAAAACAAATACAGAGCTAATTTGTAACAGAATCAAATGAATATTTTTGTCGTTATTTTTCGGGTTGTCGGGGTGTAGCCCAGCCCCAATAAATTTGTAATAAAATTGTGATGTATATTCGTCATTGCAAAAACTTGTTAAAAACTTTTAATGAATACGATCGTTACAAAAATTATGTTGCAAGATCACTATTTTATTGTAGTGATATATCTTTTAGTAGTTTCTTATTTATGCATGTCGATCGTATATATATTACATACCAAAGTTAATTTTAGGGGAAAGTTTCATGGAGTCAGAGCGAAGATAAATATGTGGAAACTTAACTTACAAACGCCAAGACAGTTTAGCCTAGCTAAAATGTGACTTCTAGTTGGCCACAATTGTTATGTATTTAATATATACCATTGAATTTGGTTGGTCGGTCTTATTTTGTTCTTGCAACCCATCTATATATATATACTAGATCATGACCCGCACGTACGTGCGGGATTTCGTATTTTAAGAAATGTATTGTAATAAATATTTAGTAAATATAGATTATTTTGTTGTTTTCACTCTAAAACCAAAAACCATAAAAATACGCATAGGAGGTTAGTATAAATCATAAGAACATGAAGTAATTTGCTTTTAAATCTCCATCTATTGTTTTAAAGAATCAATTTTCTAGATTAACTGTGAGATAATCAACGTGGATGTATGCATAAATGCATAATATTTATAGGAAATAGATTGTACACGAAATTAGGTTTTATTTTGTGGATTCAATCTTTACCAAAAAAATAAAACTTAATTGCATATTTTAAATTTATGATATAGAATTTATACAACAATTATAGAAAACAAAATAGTACTCTGAAATCTTAGTAACTAAATAAATTTAGTAAAATAATTTATTATCATTTGAGTTTCACATTTTTGCCAAATTTGTAATAAATTGTAAATTAATGTAGTGAAATGTTTTGTAACTTATGTGTATCTATAGAGGGTAACAAATTTTTGAATTAAAGTACTACAAAATAATGTTGGACTACCGTTATAAAGCTAAGAAAATGTAAAGACAATACATTAATTGTAAACATTAATAGAAATCTAATGATGTAAGATATTATTAAAAATATTTAATCGATATTTTACGAAAATTTTCAAGTAGTATAAAATATTAAATAATAAAAATAGATGTTAAAAGAAATAAAAACATGGAATATTTATAACATGGATGTTATGTTAAATTATCATTTATATCTCTTGCATCCATTTTGATAATTTGATTTATTAATTTTTTATGTAATAGTTAGTTCACATAGCTATTAGTCTTTTAAATTAGAAAGGAAATTATAAGCATCCGTAGTCATAATTATAAACGGTAGTATTCATAAGTGTTGTAAAATCGAATTTATAAGAGCTTATTCAATATTATCTTTTTTTTTTATGTTACCTGTTTACTTTAAAATAATAGAAATTTAGGAATATTAATTTTAAAATATATAAAATGTCGAAATAGTTATTTAAAATGTAGGCGACTTAAACATCATTAGAGAATCTCCAACTTCACTATATTTTTTTTCTCTAAACTCTATTATAAAGCACAATTCTCTCCAACCCTACTCTATATCTCACTCTAAAATAGAGTAAAAGAGAAGATTATTCAATATATAGAGGAACTCTATTTTTTTTACAATACCTCTATTTTAGAGTAGGGTATAGAGTGATACATTGGAGAGAAATCATGCTCTATTTTAGAGTAAATTATAGAGATTTACATTGGAGATGGTCTTAGGAGGTAATTTATACAATTAATGCTCCATTAATAAAAAATCATTTATTAATAACAAGATGTTCATTATTTATTTGAAAGTGAAAAGAAAAACACAATAAGAAAAATATGGCACATATCGCTTAAAACAAATATTAGAATATCTTATATATGTTAATTCTCGATTTTCAAACGACAGTAATTATTGAAAATTGCTAAGTTGAAGATTGTTAAAAAAAAATTCAATTTATACCGCATTAATCAGAAAATTAATTTTTCATAATAATTTATTTTAAAGGAAGAAGAAAAAATATGGCTCAGGTTGCAAAAAAAAGAGCAACTTTTATATATGTATAGAATAACTTTTAAAACTATTTTTATATGAGATTTGAAATTGTATTTAGTGATTTTGAAAACTTGTTACCTATTTAGAATTGTTAGCTAAACAAAATTCATCACCATATAGAAATATTTTTAACAATATAGTCTACATACACAAAACATATATATATATATATATATATATATATATATATATATATATATATATATTAGGAAATATTTTCTTTATTTTATGATTAAAAATAATAGAATTCAAATATACACATCATATCTTACCATTATAAACGTAATAACATATGACATTATGGACTGAAATATACTTAGAAAAATGAGGTAAAAAACAAAATAAAATAACATATGAAGGAAAAAGGATTAGAAACCAATAAAATTAAATTTAAAGCATCAAATTAAAGGAACATATAGCATTTTAAAAAACAAATATACGCTCAAAACATCATGTATTTTGGTTTTTGATGGATGTTGGGTCTCTCATGTTGAGATTTGAGATTGGTATGTCGTATTGTGTTATTCTTATAATGATGAAATAAATTATAGTAAATTAATATTTAAATGTAACCTCCACCATGAGAAAATACATTCATTTTTAAAAAATTAAATTGCGGAGTTACAATAATAGTTAATAGTGTGTTTCAATGCCATTGAATAGAAAAAAAAGTTAATACACAATTTATATGATTTAGGTTACAATTTAGTATTAAAAGGTGGATTAATGTGTATGATTAAAGAACTTACCAAAAAAAAATGTGTATGATTAAAGAATTAAATGTATTTTGTTTGTGGTTTAATAAGATATAGATAAAGTCAATTTTATTAATATATTCATTATCTTTTTATTAAAAAAAATGAATTCTCATGAGATTAGTAAGATATACAACATAAAATAACCATAGGGCAATATGCTATATGTAAGAAATAAAATTAAATTAAAAATATAACATATTAACATATTATTTTATTAATATATTCATTATCTTTTTATTAAAAAAAATGAATTCTCATGAGATTAGTAAGATATACAACATAAAATAACCATAGGGCAATATGCTATATGTAAGAAATAAAATTAAATTAAAAATATAACATATTATCGCATATACTGTGGATGTCGGAATCCGCAATACAAATTTTAAGATGTGTATCGGGTCGTCTAGCCTTGATAATTCGAATAACAGTCAAGAAAAAGAAAACAAAAGAGTGAAGTGTATGTATCTGTATATTGCTCAAGAATTCGGTCCTAATACAATGGTTTTTGTGTCCTATTTATAGTTACATAATCCGAAACCGAAGTCGCCAATCAAGCCTCCAATTTCGCCTTCATCATTGCTTACGTTACGAATCTCCATGATCTCGCAGATTCCGTGTAACCCGCCTTTCAATTTAACGTCGAGATCCTGACGTTTCATTCGACCTGGGCTGGAGCCTACTGGGCCGTTCTGGACCGAACTAGCGGCCCACAATCTACTGTCTTTCTGGGCCGGATCCGAATTGCGGGATCCGACACCAACATATACTTAAACTATTTTATCGCCTAATAATTTGATCTTTATTTTTTACTATAAATTATGTGAAAAAGATAAAATGTAGGAAAATATCTCTTTATTCAAAAATATCCTTAAATTATTTTATCATCAAATAATTTTGATTTTATTTTATAATTTGATTTAAAGACTATTGTGGTTATTGTTCTCAAAAATCAAATAAACAAATTTATTGCACTCAAATTAAAAAAATAAACTGAAAATGACATGTGTCAAAAGAGTAGAACGCCAAATGTCACATTCTTAGAGCTTGTTTTGAAAAAACCTTGTCATATTATATAAGAAGTATTCTTATAATGTATTCAACTTTTTCTTGTTTCCATTTTTATTCATTAGGTGTACCAGAAACGTTATGGTGATGACAATCCTTGATACTTTATTTATTGGAATGAATTAATTTCTCGAACATTGTTAATCTTCCCCTTCTTTTTTTCTTCTTCATAATATGTGCTTATTGACGCAACTTCTATATGTTTTTTCATCAAATATCCTTATCGGTATATATGATGACATGTTAAGATTGCTCAAGATTTGTTTAAACCAACAAAGAATTTGCCTTAGGTGCGACATGTAGTCAAGTTTCCATCTTAGATGGACTAGAACATGAATTTCCCATAAATATATGTAAGGAGACCCGGCCCAGGACTAAAGTCCGTAAAGCAAGGACTTTAAGCATCACGACGTTATTAACGTTTTAGGCATCACATCCTAGTATACAATGCTCTATGACTGTTCCTAGTATACAAAGTTCTCCACAACAAACAAACTAACCATTCGAGAAGATCCGCCATTCTTACCCGAACAACCACTCATAAACCATTAGTTATAATAATATCGTCTTCAATTATAATTCTCCAAATTCATTCATAAAGAATCGATGCTGAGTTTGCATATTTAATAGTTATAAATTTCAAATGCGAAGATAATACCAATGTCTCGAACCACAAAGATCATCTAAAAAAACATCCCAAAAACATTTCGGAGAATTATAATTCAAGATAAAATGTGTTCTCATTGTTGTTTATAATCAATTTCACGAGTTAAAAGTTTTGAGGAAAACATGAGAAGAATTGCAATTAATTATGCAATTTTATTTTTTGGTTTCATTGCAAAATACGTCCTACAAAATATACGAAACTCAACAATGGAAAATGAAAATAGAAAATAAATGAAGGGTCCTATCATTCCTTCTATACATTGAAAACATTCTCTACCCACGAGAGTCCATTTGGACCCAAACCTAACAATTCCTTCACACACAAATTCTTGTCTAACAGACTACTAAAACAACAACACACAAACAAAAAAACAATCAACCAAACCGCTACAAACGCTTAAATTCAATTTCTTACCAAATTCAATGCTTTCACAAGATTAGTTTACATTACTCACTCAGAGCTATTTGAGTTCTCTTCTCTACTATCATCATCATGATCACTCTGTTGCCGCTTCTCTTGATGCTCCACCACATTGTTCGCTTGTTCAGCATCCGCGTTTGCGTTTCCGCCTCTCGAATAAGCCGCGTTCAAAGCGGCTAACATCCCGAGATTCGAATCCGGCATACTTAGACCTAAGTTCTGAGTCGGTTGCGGCTGAGCTAGAAACGAACCTAATTGAAGTGGACTTCCTCTGTACTGATCCATCGGAAAACTAAACCCCGTTCCCGCCATAAAATGAGTCGCTGCTCCGCCTCCCCCACCCGCTCCTCCTCCTCCTCCAGCAGAGTTCACAAATGGCCACATAGGAGGAGCACGGTGGCCTGCGGTGGCGGTATTGTTACTACTACTCTCCATTTGATTACCGGTCGTTGTCGGTACCGGAAGCATCCAAAAAGTGTTTGCAGCACCAGTCCTACTCGGCGGAGCAACCGCCCACATCGGCGCCGCCGCAGGACCCGGCGTTTCACTTTCTTTCAAAGACTTATTCTCGTTCTGTTTCCGATCATCGTTTTCTTTAGACAAATCAACCGATCTATACCGTTTCCTCGAGAAATTCTCACCTTCAGGAATTGTTTCCACCGGATCTTGATTCTGATGATGATGGTTCTGTTGAAGATGATGATGAAACCCTAAAAGCGGCGTCGTATGAGCCGCAAACACTCCGCCGCCTCCTTGTTCATCGTACTGATGAGTCAATCCAAGAGCACCGTAGAGCGGCACCGATTTCGACGGCGGAGCAGAGAGAGTCGAACCGCTACTTCGTAACGAAACACTTAAAGTAGAAAAGTTCGCCGGAATAGTTCCTGTACCTGTAGCAGCAACAATCGCTGGCTCAGCTTGTTGAAGAAGCCATTCAATAGTTTCACCATCAGATTTATGACCTAACTCTCTCGTTAACTGAAAAACCCTAGCCGCACAAAGCGCCGGCATACGAATCCGCCGTCCTCTTCCGTCGACTTTCGTGTGACGGTCTTTAGTCGACCGCTTCGTTGTAGTCGTCACCGCCGTCGTAGATGAGGTTGTTGCGAGTGTTGAGTCTTCTAATGGTGTAGATCTGGGAACGATTGAAAGAGATGCGTCAACTAGTTGTCTTGCTCCTCCTCCGGTGACGGCGGCGGTGTCGTTGTTTCGATCCATTTTCCGGTGTGAAAGAAGTGGAAAAGAAGATGAAATTGATTGAAATTAGGGTTTGGTGGAAGATGAAGAAACGGCCATGGAAGGTCTGATTGTCGCCTTCGAGTTTTGACTCTTGTCTTCTTCAGAGAGATGAGGAAAAAAAAGGGTTTGATGATGTGGATGACTTTTCCAGCAAGAGGGAATTATTATTAAATTAAATATATATGTCGTCATTAAAATTAAATAAAACATCTATTGTTTTTGATTAATTATGGAGTATATATAATAAAACGAAAATTAATCAGGGAACAAAATTCTACCAAAAATGTGAGTTTTGTTATTTTTCATTTAAATTATTTTATTACAACATTATTGTTTACTAATTTTAGGCACCAATAAAAGAAAAAGTTAAAAAAGATTTTGCAAGGGATTGAGAAAGAGAGATAAGCATCTTTTAGACAGTGAAGCGTGCGTATTTTTGCAGGTGGGGACAGCTCATCCCAATCCACCTCCGTATCTTCATTTCACTTTTTCTTGAATAGTTTTAGTTTTATAAGATTTTATTAGAAGTATATTCACTAAATAATTTTGGATTGATGATAATGGTTTCAGAGCCCCATGGAATAGATTTTTTTGATGTTGGTCTTAGGGTCAATGACTTAATTGACAGCAATACAGGCTTTTGGGATAATGAAGTGCTGGAGTTTCATTTTCTGCCTCAAGACATCATTACAATCAAGAAAATCAAACCTCTCATATCCCAAGATGATTTTTTGGTCTGGCAGCATAACAAAAGTGGGGATTTCTCTGTTAAATCAGCTTACTGGTTGGCTGATCAAACCTTCAATGCTGACTTGATTGCGGAGGCTGCGGTTCAACCCTCTACCCTGGAGCTAAAGAAGCTGGTGTGGAAGATACAAACAGACCCAAAAATCAAGATTTTCCTCTGGAAAATTCTTAGTGGAGCTATTCCTGCTGCTGTTTCTCTCAATGGAAGGGGTATGAATGTGGATCAATGTTGCCAAGTGTGTGGAGAGGATGGTTAATTTATTAATCACATCTTCTTTCTGTGTTCTTTGTCTCGCCAAATCTGGGCTCTTTCTGACTATCCCAGCCCACTTGAGGGTTTTCAGAAAGGTTCAGTTTTCTCTAACATTTATCACCTACTGCTGAACAAAGATAATAGAGAATGGCCAGTGGATCTTAGGAGAAGCTTTCCTTGGATTATTTGGCGGATTTGGTGTAACAGAAATGCTTATATTTTTGAGGGTCAAAGCTTTTCTGCTGCTGAATCTGTTGCAAAGATTAGGGATGATGTTTTGGAATGGTTTGAGGCTCAGATTTTGGATCCTGTGGAGGTTTCTGGGGCTGTCTCTGCGCATCGGTCAAGTGCTCCTTTGGATGTGTCAGTCTCTCAGCAGGTTTGGAAGAAACCAGAGGCAAATTGGGTCAAGTGTAACGTTGGTGTCTCCTGGTCAAACATAAATAGGTTGGCAGGAGGAGCGTGGGTACTAAGAAATGAGATGGGGGTAGTGGTCTTGCATAGCAGAAGGTCTTTTTCTGGCATAAACTCAAAGGAGGATGCTATGTTAAGATGTGTTCTATGGGCTATGGAAAGTATGGCCAGCCACAAGATCAACAGGGTCTCCTTTGCCTTTCAGGACAAGGCCCTCGTTGGTGCAGTTACTCGGCCTATTGCTTGGCCATCTTTCAAGCCCCAATATGTTGCTTTAACGAGGTCTTTGAGATACTTCTCAAAGTGGAAGCTTGAAGTGGAAGATGATGCCGCAAACAGAGGAGCAAACCTTATAGCTCAAAGCGTAACTGGTGACCTTAGATGTCAATCTTATGTGGCTCTAGGTCATCCTCAGTGGCTTCATAGGGTTTTTGTTGATGAAGAGGGTTTGTCCCCTGTTTGACTGGTGCTTTTGTTTAGCTCTTCTCTGGTTTAAGCTATTCTTTTTGTATAGAACCGCTCTTGGTGTAGAGTTGGGTTTAGTCTAGTCTATTTACTTGCTCGGAGTGTCTGTCTCCTCTATGCTTGTATTCTTTTGGTTCCATGACTGGAAATTCTAATATAATATCAGATGATCAAAAAAAAAATATTCATTAAATAATTTTATTTTTTTAGGAATTTGTAGAAAGTAACAACAAAATGAAAAAGAATTAAAAATCCTTCTTTTTTCACTCTTTTAGTTTTAGTGTAGTTTTGAAATTGAAAAAGCTAATTAATTATAAGAATTAATATTTTAAATAATAAATAATAACTGATTATATACACAAAATATCTTTGTATTGAATATAGAATGAATTTTTTAATTATTACAACACTATAAACGATTCAATAAAATTATTTTATTATAGTTGTTTTTTAATACTTTTTAAAGATTTTTATTCGTCAACATGGGACAACACCAAATTTCGACGAACGGTGTATTGGGATATGCAGCTGGGAGTATAGCGGCAAGAGAGCTAGGGACCTCCAAGGTTCCATATGATGATGTCTGCACTGGCTCGTGTACAGCTCCCGGAAATACTTGACCCCTCAAAACGACATGCGTAAACAAAACCCCTGCTGAGATTTGTGATCTTGACTACATGTTGTCATATAGTTTGTATATGTAGGCATAACTTGAACTTATTTGTTTTGCCCAATATTTTTCTAAGACCTTTGATAAGAAAGTATCGTCAAGTTAAGTGGAATTAGACTATGTTCTAAAAATATGTAGGCTGAACTATATATAATTTTAACGACTTCTAAATATATGAATATATAATTTTAGAGGATTTTTCATAAAGGATTATGCATACTATGGACACAATTTCGTTCATTGTACATTTCTAGTACATCTTTGTCTTATTTTTTTGTAGATGGAGGCATACTATGGACACAATTTCGTTCATTGTACATTTCTAGTACATCTTTGTCTTATTTTTCGTTCATTTAACATATTCATTGTCATGTTTCATTGGAGATGGAGGCACATCTTGTGGATGTGAAGAGTATGGTCTTCTATACTCTGAAAGAAAAGTTGATGCTACTGACCCTTGGACATGACAAGTTCATCAAGGTATGAGATTCATCAGGCATGACATATCTCTCGAGTTGCTTTCATGACGAGTACTTGAATTCCCTTATTATGCATGTGCACAAACAACATGAACAATACCTGTTATTTTTCTCATCATTTGTGCTAATGTAAACTGTAGGTGCTAAAATACAAGCTTCCCCGCGCAAAATCTCCAGATTTTGATGTTGGAGTTGTAGAAGAGGGTGGCAGCTTATTGGTAATTTTGGACTCGGATCATTGCATGTCCGTTTCCTTGGCGTTAAACAGGGTATTCTGCCTTTTTGATTCTCTAAATTTGAGAGCTAGATAGGCAGTTTCCTCCTCGGCCTGTGCAAAGTGGAGCGCTTTGTGGAGAACATCATCCAAAGTGGAAGGTTGCCGGACCGTGAGTTCCTCGCGGAATCTCGAGGAGAACCATAAGCCGTTGTAGAGGGCTTCTAGGGCAACCTCTTCGTTTAGATTGGCGATCCTTGATTTGGTCGTTTTGAACTTTTCGATGTTGGATCGCAGAGGTTCGTTCTGGAGCTGAGTTAGGTTCCATAGGTCAGCTTCGGATGTTCTGTTTACGATCAGCACCAAGTACTATTTGAGGAATGCAGCTGCGACTTGGTCGAAATTATTGATCGAGTTCCCTTCGAGGCTCGCAAACCATTCTAGGGCGTGACCTACAAGGTTTTCTGCAAAGAAGCGGCAGTGTCCTGCTTCGCTCTCCTCGTCAGTTAGGTACGCTCTTTTTATGGATAGGCAGAAAGCCCTCATGTGAGCTTTCGGATCGGTCGTACTATCATATATATTCTGGGAAGCGGAACTTTCCGGCATCGCGTATGCAGAAGTGAGCGATTCTATCTGTGAATGGAGTTCGTCTCGTTTCTTCTATTATTCGATATATGTCATGAGCATAGCTCACCGCCATGTGCACCTTAGAGTGCATTTGGGCCATATTGGCATTGGTCTGCGCAGCGTAATTGCGGAAGGTTTCCATAACAACGATGCTCTTGGGATCGATTGTTTGCGTATAGTTTGAGGAGTACAAAGGTGGGATGCTGTGTCTCGCGTTGTTAAACGGTATTTGGGGATTTACGGAGCCGTTTCGAAGATTTCTCGTCGAGGTCCGTAATTGGGTAGGACCAGAGGGGGGATCTACAATTGGAGTTTGTAACTGTGGTAGGTTCCCAAGGGCGTGGGAACTTGATGCAGGTGTCTGGTTCCGTATCCACGTGTACCTGGGTGGCGAGTAGCCTCGTGGTAGGAGCGGTGGAGACCGAAACCTGGGAAAGGTCGGTGTGATTCGTGTCTCTGTTTCTGCGGATGGGTTTCCCAGGGAAGAGGGTGTGAACGCGACCTGTCGATTTACGCGAGGAGTTACCTCTATTCTCGTAAAGTCGAGGTGAGTTCGAGGGGTCGATTCTGAGGGGGGAGTCGTACCGCTAGGGCGGATGGAGGTCGACGCAGGATTTGGGGTGGCCTGAGGGAGGAGCCTCCCTGCTTCAGGTAACACGTTGGTGAGCTCTTGCTCTTGATATTCCATCCGCGCGACTAGGCTTCGGTTTAAGATTTTCTGTGTTTGGCTTCTTTCGACCAAGGTAAGGATCATTTTGCGGAGTTCGGCCAGTTCGTCGGCGGATCTTCTGGCGATTTGCTCAGTGATGTCAATCTGGTTGTGCAATGGCAGTTCGATCTGGCTGGAAGATCGCGATGTACTGCGATCTCCTCCTCCCTCGACTTGCGTGGGGGGGGGAGGAGGTTGTTCCGAGTCGGACGAGGTCAAATTTCGAGGTAAGTTCTCCATGTTGTTTTCACAGGAGTTTGTATTTTGGATTCCCAAAGGGAGATCCGTCGGGAGGCGTTGCTCCAGGTAGATGACGTTTGAGATCAGAGCTGAGGAGCCGGATCTCGTGGAATCGGAGGACATGAGCTCCATTTTCGTTGTTTCGCAACGGAGGCGTTAGCTTCAGTGTCAGAAGAATCTATTTCTTCCCCACAGACGGCGCCAAAAATGTGGGTGCTAAAATCCACACTCAAAATTTGTTCTTAGTTTTTATGGGCAAAGAGGGCTAGATTTTTAATGATGCTTTGAGAACTGAATTGCTAAAGAACGAAATGATTTTATTGATGAAGATCAACAGATTACAATGGAAAGTATGAGAATACAAGTATTTAGAGTATTCGGTCTTAGTAGGAAAGTAGGCGATGATCCTCTTTAGGTCGTCCTCCTCTCCTTATATAGGTCTTCGAACTAGGTCAGGAGCTTTGAGATCCGCGCCATTTTCTCCTAGATATCAGGTCTGTTCCGCTATTTTAGCCGAGGTCCGCACCAACTGCTCCTATATTTAAGGTCCGTTCCGAGATTCCCTCTTGACTGGTTCTTGATCTGCTGGTAGCTACGCATCTCTACTTCGTGAGCTGACGGATCTTATACAAATCTGAGGGTCCAATTAGTGTTTACGCATGTGGAATCGGAAGTGCGAATTCCAGCTCCAACATAAACTATAACACTGTATTTCTTTCCTACATTTTGCTTTTTTAGCACGTCTTCGTATCAGATGTTCAAGGAAATACTATGAAGGCAATCATCGACGGAACTAAACAACCCAGTGTTCACGCTGCATTATTTGCTTATGTAGGAAAGATGCATTTATCAAAGCTACGTCAGAGCTCAAACTTGGCAGAGATGGAGAGAGGTTAGGTTTTATTTCAAGTATTTTTTTATTACATATTAGTGCTCACTAGTCGCTAATGTTTTCTATATCTAATAATCACTTGCATCATCGGTGATTCTTCTTTGCTTGAGCTATATATAGATACACTAGAGACTGAAAGAGTATATGAGGGAGTTTTAAACACTATAATCAAATGTGAATGGATGTGAGCAACAAAACTACATAGCAGTGCTATGTGGCAAGGAAAAGTGAGTCAAAGTCTGGAAGCTAAACACTAAAGAACCTTTCACGAATATATCTTTTGGAGAGGATATAGCTTTTCAAGTACAGAACAAACTTTTAGCTTTGATAACATGCCTTCACTAATATATTATTGGGATTTTTGTCAATCATGCCATGAAAACCAGTTTTAGTTTTACGAACTGCCATTTCGAAAAGGTCCTTTCCAAAAAGGGTCATTCTTGATGTTTGTGGCATATATAAAAGACATTCTTGTCCTTGTAGAAACTGTCGCGAAAAACAATTGACAAAAAATAATGGTGACATGTCTGACATATTATTCTTAAGAATCAACTAAAAAGAAGCTATATTGTAGGTAGTACAATAGCATTAATTGTTGCATTGATTGTGGACAAAGCATGATATTGTTTACTTAGATTTTTTATAATATCTGGTTTAACTTCTCTACAATTTTTCACGAGAAGAATGACGGTTTATCGGAACTAGACACCGTGGATTAAAAAACGGCGTCGGTAATTGGATAAAAGTCGGTGGACCAAGAGAGACGTAGCTGGTTGGGACAAAAAAAAATGTCTGCATTTATGTCCTCATCGATAGACATGTCATATATGTTGTCTATCTTCCTTGATTTATTGTCTACAATTCCCATACTTTGTCCATCTTCTTACGGTTTGTCTCATGTTTCATCGCCTTCTTCCTCTCCATATGATCATGATGCATCGCCTTTTGCAATCTGAAATTCGTGCACAAGATTATAGACATCAAAATAGACAAAAATAGACGGTTGATAAAATGTTGTCTACAAGGTTTTGTTAAAATAAGTATAAATTCAAATCTCATTGATGGACATGTCATTTGTGTTGTCTATCTTCCTTGATTTCTTGTGCACAGTTTCCATGCTTGATAGATCGTCTTCTCCCTAGCTTGATGTTTCATTGCCGTCTTTCTTCCCAGATTATGCATCACCTTCTACAAGAGATATGGAGCATGCGACGGAGGGTAAGCGAGAGAGAAAAATAAAAGATTAGATTAAAATGTCTTGTTTACTTTTTATTTGTTTTATTTTGATGTTTTGATGATTTTTAAATAATTAAATAAAAAATTCAAAGTATCTTTAATTTGGGGAGAAGTCATGTTGTGCTGGCGTCTGAATTATGACAATTAATGCTTTGGAGAGTAGTCATATCGTTCGTCTCTGCAAACGACTCTGCAAACGAAACCAAGGACAATTTGGTCTTTACATGTACAAGAAATGGTCTTTACCATAACGACTTTTTTTAATGTCATTCTACAAAATGAAAGTGTAAAAGATGGCATAATTGTTAAAAATCTCTATATTATTTGCTTATTTTTATGTCTTGTGTTGTTCCATTTAAGGTTTTCCCATTCTAGCAAATCACCCTGATGAAATGAAGTTCCTTTGGTCATCTCTGTTACTGATTTTTTTTAATTATTATTATTATTATGCTAAGAGGTTGTGTTTCAACTTTCAACCATATATATCTCTCTATATATAGGAGTTTATTTAATTTTTCTAATAAATTAACTACAAGGATTTGATTTTGTATTTTTCTTATATTCATGATTTAATATGTTCTGAAATTGAAAAGTTTGAAGATCACTTGATTATTGGAGATCATTTGATTATCTTAACTAATATTCAATATTAAATAATTATCAATAATTGAAATTGTTGGAGAATTATCCCCAAAAAAATAGTGAAAACAAAAAAAATAATGGAGTAGACAATAGTCATCGGCTCATCGCTTTACCATCTTTGTGTTGTCTGGGCCTTACCTCTGTCCTTCACCCTCTTCACACTCTTCACTCTCTATTTTTCTAACCAATTAGAATCTGTCACCTAATAAAAATAAAAATAAAAAATAAAAAATTAGTAAGTTATATATCGGTTTGGGTTTATAAAAGAGTGTTAAGGTTTATATTTTACAATTAAACGAGTTAAATGTTAGTTTGGGTTTATAAAGAAAATTTTAGATTTAGCTTTTACAATTTAACGATATTATATATCGGTTTGGGTTTATAAGAGACGGTTAGGATTTATATTTTACAATTAAACGAGGTTATATGTTGGTTTGAATTTATAGAAGAGGTTTAGAGTTTAGATTTTACAATTAAACAAACAAGATTATATGTCGGTTTGAGTTTATACACAAGTGGTTAGGGTTTAGATTTTACAATTAAATATAGTTAAATAATTGTTTCGATTTTATAAAAGAGTGATTAGGGATTTGTTTATAATTAAATAGTTTTACTTTTAATTAGGTAGTAGATTCTGATTGCATAAAAAGGTTTACTCTTATGAGTGAACCTTAGAATTATGTTCAATTTTTTTTCTTTTTTTTTGTTCCATTAATTACAAGAAATTTGAAGCTCTAAAGCTTCTATGTCTTCTTCTCTTAGACAACTCTCTCAAATTCTCAGGTACTGGTCTCTTCCTCACAAAACTCCAACTCTTGTTTTCTTTTCAGTTGTCTCCGAATCTGCTTCTTGTCCCTTCAATAGCTCATCTCTTCCTATAATCTCTTTGTGGATGTTCCTGATTTTGGCTGTAAAATTAACCTATTTTCAAGAATGGACTCTTTTAACGGTTTATAATCTGTTGAATAATTGATTCACAAAACTGATTAAGAAAGAGAAGAAAAAGAGTAAGAGATAAAGGATTATCTCTTCTCTTTTTAAGGAAGAAAAATAAACGAAAGAACTTTTCATTGAATCGGAAACATGTTATTTACATTAGGACAAAATTGATTTATATAGAAAACAAACAGACACTACTACACAATGAGTTGTGCTTCTTGACAAAAATAACTGCCTTAATACAAATCATGACTTAATACATCAAACCTTAACATAATTAGAAACTTAATTATCGACCAACACTCCCCCTTAATTGAGTTTTACTATGGGTCTCACTCGTATGTCAGAATTATAGCGGAATAACTGAAGAATTGTTAGCGAACAAAAATAAACTAGATTAGGTTTCACAAAAATAATTTTTAGTAGATTAATCACATTTTATTTTTGTTAGTCATATTTTCCAGCTAGTTGTATATAGTGGACTCACTTTTCCAAAATATGAAAACGTGAAAACTTGATGAATATTGTAAATGGTACTAAAAATAGCAAAATTACATTTTTAAATTGTGAAAACGCAAATAAGTAGTATAAAATTCATTCTATATGATTCAAACTAAAACAAATTATGTTCATCAAATTCGTAACTTCAGTTTTCAACAAGCGATATTCATGTTTATTAAGAAGTAACATGATTTAAAAACTAGATTATAGAATTCCATAATAAGATCTATATATAAATCATCCCTGACCGTATTCCAAACTTCCCTTCAGGAAACAAGGACCGTTCTCATGGAAATCGTTACAAAATTATTATAACATGCATGTTCTCTCACAATCTTATAATCATATGTTTAAGATTATTTCATGATTTTTATAAGATTATAACATACAAACAAATTAAGCAAGAAATAATAACGTCCATGACACAGAATTTGATTCCTCTCCTATCAATATGGTAAATGGGATAATGGACCGGCTTGTTGTGGCCCAAACCCAAAAAATATCTATGAACCGGTGTCCTCCTAATTTAATACCAATCTATTTATGAACTTTCTACTACACTTCCACAAAATGTAGCCGTTTCACTGTTTCAGCTCTAAAACCAAACCACAACACACATGCAATGCAACAAGTTTACTTTCTTATAACATTCGAGTTACACCATATAGGCCCTTCATGAGGCTTGACAAAGAGCAATGAAACAACTGTAAATGTGCATACAAGTTAAATGCAGATCTGAAGCAATCAAATCTTTTGACACTTGGGATAGTACTACAGAGAATGTCATCAACTTTACATGAATCATTCACTCCAAGGGAATGCACCATTTTACCAGTAACATAAAATACAAACAGTGGAGATCATAGTACAACTCCAGATATGAATGTTTTATTTTGTCCGGGTTCGAATATTACAAGTTGCTACAACAATCACCAGATAAATGAAGTCCAGGTGTCTGATCTTCGAACTAAACCACCTCAGGCAAGCCATCTGCTGGAAGTAATATAGGTTTCCAGGTGCACTGGTGAGTTAACTTGTCAATCATAAGAAAAATAAAAGACGGGGGAGTTAAAAAACGTCTGCGGTGAGGCAGTAGATTAGGGCCTGATGTTGTTGAAGCGCCATGCCCTTGAGATCTAATGAACCAGTGGGTAGAGAGACATTGACTAAAAGTGGAATTGACCCATCACAGATACAGAGTCACGCCTACAGTTGGAATCTTTGGTGTTCAGTGAAAGACTCGAGAACTGAGAGTCGAGATCTTTGCTAGTAGCACGTCCGCGAGTAGCTGATGGTTTTTGAGTTTGTTGTTGTTGCTGATACAGCGCTCGTAGTCTTCCAATCTCCTTTTCCAACACTTCTTGTTCCACTAGATAATAGAGAGATCTCATGAGGTATACAATCTTAAAAACCATTGAATCTTGATAACTAGCTACTTACAAAGTACAAATACAAACTCATACTCTATACTACAGTTTGAATCTAGAGAACCTAAAAGAAACTTTTTCAGATGGTTGCGAAAAAACTTACATTGTTTGATAAGCTTCTCCTGAGCTATACTTTCGAGTCGCTGCTTAAGAGCTTTATTTTCCATACTCAGAATAAGATTCCGCTGGTTGAGAAAATCAAGTTCAGCTGAAACTTTGGAGCCTTCTGCCTATAGACACAAAAGAAATCCATACTTCAGTTAGTCCAGAAACTGTAATCTAATACATACTTCACTTACTCTCTCTTTAAATGCAAGTTTTATTCAGCCTTACCTGCAATGTTTGTACATTTCTTTCTAGCTCAGATATGTACTGGAGCTTACGGACTCGTGATCGTTGTGCAAATTGCCTACAGGGAGCAGCAAAGTAACCATGTTATAATACTGAAAATTAAAGTCCAAAAACACTACTCATTCCATCAGAGCTATCCAAAGATGTAAGTTCTGCTCAAGTCAATAAGACCAATAACCATATCATAAAGAATCAAAAAGCTGACTGAGACATTCACCATAGATGAATGAGGGAAAATGGCATGAAAAGATCTTATTCTATATTGCTTTGAATAAGTAAATCAATCAAGAAAGAGTAAAGAGATCACATACTGTTTGGCTCGTTTAGTATTGTCAGCTTCATAAGTCACAGGCGGCGGATTGGAGTTGTTTTCCTCAAAAGATAACATTTTCGGGTCATGAGAAAGAGGTTCGGCATAGTTCTTTCTTTCTGATATTACTGTTGCATCTTGAGACATATATAATGGTCCCATGTTTTTCCCGCCACCGCTCTCTCGAGTGTAAGGTAGCCAAGAAGGACGAGCGCCATTTGCCACCAAAGAATCCCGCTGCCGACTCTTCTGTTTCAGAAAATTAGCATCAGAGTAGAAAGCAGCATCCTGAACATTTTTATTTCGGTCAAGCTCCTGAATTCCTCTTTGAGTGGAAGAAACCGTATTCCTATAACTGAAATCATTTTGGAGAGTCAAACTTATGTTTGTAGCATTAGCCACATCTAGATACGCGTAAGAGTCACTTGATGACCGCCGATGACCACATTTGCGAGCAGGGCTATCCGGCTCATTGAGAAGATCATCAAGCCAAAAAGGAAGCTCTTCTACCAAATGGCTCTCAGAGGAAGTCCGCTGGTGGTGCGTTTTCTCACCACTAAGCTTCTGACCATGCCTTGAACCAATCAAACCACTCGGAATATACTCAGAATACGATGCTGAAACACTAGGAAACGGTATTTTTGGTGGGAGCAAAGCATGCTTTCCCGGGTACATCAAGTTTCTAACACTCTGTGATCCTTTGGAGCTAGCCATTGCCACACTTTCCTGCCAAAACAACAGTAAAACATGCCTACTTCAATCATTCGAAATGCAAACAAGGAAAATCAATGGAAAAGATAGATCTGACTATTTAAACCAACGCATTAAAAACCACAAAGCAGTTTAAGATTGGCCTACGAAGCCAGTAGCAGATTATGGTTTTGAATGGATGTTGTGGACAAAGCGGACTAAACTGTTAGCGGACTCGACCACCCTACTTTTTGGAGCGGACAACAAAACAGCCGCAGACCAAGTTTATTTCTACGTAAAAGCGGCGGTCCGTAGTTAGTCCGTCGCGGACTTGTTCTATTTTTTTCAATCAGCACTACTACTGATTATAGTTTATGAATGGTAAATAAAAAGCGGTCCGAACCGAAAACGGATTTGTCCGCCCTAACCATCGCAACCAAAAGCTAAGAATGCTCTTACATGAAGGGAAAAGGTTTCAAGACAACATCAAACATAGATAGCAACAAATCTATATAACCTAAAATGTTTTATAAAACTTTAGTTTCTTTGTTTGGAAATGAAAAGCTGACACTGAAGCACAAGTCACAACACTATAACTGACCCATTCAGACAAACCAGACCGGACCAGCTCATCCCACTTATGTTGCTTTATCATTAAGCTATATCAATATAAACACTTGTCTTAAACACATAATTACAAAAAATAATCATCTTAGCTAATCAAACTTCTTCATCAACAATCTTTTTCATCTTCCAACATTTTCCAGTAACCAAACACTAATATCAAGAATCCATAAAAAGTAAGTAAAATCCAAAAGTTTCCCTTTTTAGAAACTATGAGAATCAGATAGATAAAGATTTGATAATTGATTCTACTTCCAACTAAAAGAAGAAGAACAAACTAACCAGTCGGAGACAGATCCAAATCGGAGAAAATTTCAGAAAACAGAAGTTGAAAATGATAACTCCGGCTTGTTTCTTCCACCGGAGATCTTCTCTTTGCTTCTCTGTCTTATCGTTGAAGGCGAAGAAGAATCTCTCTTGACTCAGAGGAGGAGGGTGATAGAGAGAAATTTTGGAGAATTTAAGTCCTTAAAAGTAAAATAAAAGCCTTCTCTTTTGTCTTAAGACCTTTTGTTTTTCTTACTTTTAGTATTTAAAAATCATACCGAATACTTTATAATATTTTACAATTTGACCCCGATGTTTAATTTCCGCGGATTTTTGATTCAAAATCAAAAGTTCCAAATACTAATTTAAATTGGAACAAGCTAGAAAAAGTCTATTTCATTCCCTTTTAGTTTAAGGCAAAACTTGCTTTTTAGTAATTGTCTCATTAATCATGGAATTCTTTTTTTTGGTCCAACTGAAATGTAGGATTAAGTTATTTAGAGCCTTAGAGGTACAGCTACTATAAGAAATTTTGTTAGGATGAAAAAATAATAATAAAAATAAGAAATTTTGTTAGTTATTGTTAACATACTCGTTTCGTCTGCTGTAATTGGCTTTGATCATCTCGAAGCGGGAGGTTTTTTTTTTGATAAATCCATTTCGCTAGAGATCATGTTTTTCGTTGTGTTTTTTTTTTATAATGTAACTCCGATATTTTATTAGATTTTTTTTATAATTTGTAATCTTGTTTCCAGTGATATTTGGTTATTCCGTTACTAATATTATATTTTTGTGGTATGTAGAATTAACATGTACTAGAGAGAAGCTGAATTGTCTTATCAAACAATAGCATAATTTGTTTTTCTTTTCATATTATTTATTATATTATAAAGTTGTCTAAATTAAAAGTTTTATCTATAAAAAAAGTTACAATATAGAAAAGAACATAGATAGACAAAGACATTAATCTAGTTACAATTTACACGTCATAAACACTACACAAAATGAAAGAGGATCTTTTGTCGAAGATCATGTTTTTAGCATATGGGCCATTTATTTATTAATTTTATTTATTTTATAATGATTGATGAGTTGGAATTGATCTGTTACCTAACTTAAAAGTGCAACAACATGGGCCAACTTGTAGTTTTTTTTATTACATTTATAAGTTCACAAAACATTTATATATTTATAAGTTCACAAAATGACAAAAACAAAATTGTAGTCTCAAATTTCTATTTTCTCCAACATGTCTCTCATTAACTTATTTAAATCCAAATCTCTTGTTCCCAATCCAGTCTGTGGCGGCCCCAATCTTTCCACAACCTTATGATATCCATTGTTAATCACTGTGTTAACTAATCATTAATCACTTCATTTTTTTAAATATTCCTACTTGTTTAACCACTTTATATAAATAATAATCACATCTACATCAAAGACTTGACCAATAATTTTCTACTACTATTCTTAGCTCATTGCATATATATCTATATACGTATTTATGAAGCTTGCGTGTATTATATAAAGAAAGTGGGACGAGAAATAGACCATCACTATAAGAAAATTATTGCATGTTGATGAAAAGTGATAGATTAGTATGAAAAATATAAAAATATAAAAAAGTGTATTGCTGATCCGTAAAAACTAATATAAAACGTGTCACAAACAGTAGCGAAGTAATTCGTAATGGAAGATTTTTAATAACTACATAAAAATCGAATTTAGCCACGAAAATTTATGTGTTAATTAAACACTTCTACATCTATGATCTATGTGGTTAAAATGTGAATCGTTACAGATTTGTGACCAACAACAATGGGCAACAAAGTTTTTGAGCACCAAATGGGCAACAACAATGGCAAATAAATATGAACCCTTAGATATTTGTGGAGTAACAAGCTTATGATATTTTTAAGAAGCAAGAGTTTTTATTGCAAGATGCGTTGATGTGGACGACCATCGATTTTCTGGCCTATGCCCGTGGTATCCAAGTGGATGACGTATGGATTATGAGACAATATTTTGAACTACCCTGCAATAAGAAAAAAAAAATAGTTGATTAATTTGTACTAGAATGTTTAACACAAACTTTTTAGATGTTATCCCACGGTTTTTTATTTATGTAATCCGCCTTATTGTGGTACTTTCGAGATAATGTGTTTGGATTGTTTTCGTTGGGCCGTTTTTCACTTACATTCCGAATAAACCTATTAGAATGTTAAGAATGTCCCATATTGGAAGATGACATATTTATTTTTTGATAAGAATGTAGATAGCATTTAAGAATGAAAGTTTAGGTTTTATATGAAGCAAATCATAAATACATCATCTATGGGTCTCTCCACTTATTACCAATTACTTTTGAGTTGGAAGTCCATAATTCCTAATAATTTGTTAGTCTGTTTTTCTTTTCGAAAACTATCCTTACCAATAAACGTTAGAACTTTCTTATTCAAATAAAAAAATAAACGTTAGAACTTTCCGACCAAACACACCCGTGAAATAATCCATGCATCTTCTTAATTTACACGTAAGGAGGTTCTCTACAAGCGAATTAACCAAATTATAAGGCGTTGTATATAGGACAGTCCACTAAGAAAGTAATGAACATGAAAATTCATTGAGCTCAATCGATGGATGTGGTAATTACCATAATGAATGAAGAAGAGTATACTTTGGTATTTGTTGTATTGGAAAGATCAACTCAAGCCTTATATTAATTTTTTTCGATGAATTAAATCCTGATTTGTAATCAAATTTGCTAAATGAAGATGTAGACCAGAGATAGAACTATGTCTGTAGCATGATTGCATATATATATTTACATATAAATGATAAGTAATAAATGTATTTTTATACGAAATGATTTAATTACTTGTAAATGTGCAACGAGTTTATTGTTTCACCAACCCTAAAACAGAGTCAAAACAAATAAGAACTGAAATGAGTTAGCACTGATGTGGACATACCCTAATAAAGGATAATGGTGAGGTTACTTGGAAAAGAAGTTAAAAGCTCCCATGAATTTAGAGGAAAATATCTTAATATAGATAGAGGCATGGCGTAAACAAAGGCTCAAACAAAACAGCAAAGCCCTTTATATTTTCAATCTAACTCTCTCTCATCTATTGCGAGAAACAAAGAAAACTTAAGCCTCAAGAAATCAAACCCACAAAAAAATCAAATTCAACAAAATCTCTTTCTGCTCTCTCTCTCTTTTTCATTCCCATATGTTGCTTCCTTGAGTTTATCTCTTCTCTTCCGAAATAATGGGGAGCAACATCTGAGGATCCATTTGATTACCATACATAACTTATATTCAAAACAAAAACATATCTTTGTGTGTGCGCGTTAATGATGAAATAGCAGATTGAGAGCAAGAAAGAGGTAATAGCTGATAACCACAATGGAGATTCAGAGGATGAGGCAGTTGATGTCTCTTTGGTCTAATTTGAAGAGTAGCCGCGTTTCTCTCACCGGTGGGAATCATACAGCCGCAAGGTTCTGCACTCGCTAGGCTCGCCTCTTCTCTCGCTCGCTTTTTTTCTTTCTTCTTTCTCTTCTTCTTACTTCCTTTTGATTCTATTTTAGCTCTCTATTCTATTCTCTTCTCTTCTCTTTTTCCTTTTCTTTAACTTTCAACTGTACATTTTCGCGCGCTCTCTTTGTCTCAGCTTTTAAGACATAACAAAAAAGATATGGTGTTTGTTACTGTCCAAGACTTTCACTCCATGTGCCAAAAGCATTTTCACTACCTCTTGAAAAAGAGAGACCGCCCGAGCTCCTCTATCGGCTCTGCGGATACTTTCCTCAAGGCTTCTCGCTCTGAAGTCTTGAGTCTCTTTATGAGATCAACGCTTTTGGCTTTGTTGTTTCTGTCATTTACTTGGTTAAGTCTCCTCAAATATGGAACTTCTGCAACCGCTCCATCTAAGTCGGTTGAATCTGACCTTCCTGAATTACTTCCTTTGCTTCTCAACGATTTGGAGAAGGAAGGTCTCTTTAAGATGGGAGATAAAGCACTCTTCCTAAGTGGAGGAGATGATGAGGTCACTGTTTCTTCATACTCTCAAACAGTGATCGAAACTGATATGGTTCTTGTATCTGCAAGCAATCAGGAGATGCAGAGCATGGTCCCAGATGAGACCTTTGATTTCGCCTTTGCGCATTCTCGTCACATTGACTCTGCTGAATTTATAGACAGGACTCTCAAAGTTGGCGGCATCTTCACCGTCCAACTCAACCTTCAAGATCTTCCTCCAAATTTCTTGAAACATCCAAACTACGAAATAGTCTACGTAAAGAGCTCTGAGTACACGGTAATGACGATGAGGAAAACAGGGGAAACAGAGCAAAAACAGAGCTTAGTCGCCCCCGGGAGAAAGCTTCTCGGTATCACAGAAGAAGAGGCCAGGGAAAAAGCTTTGAGAAAGCTAGAGGATGTTCTCCTTGAACCACCAAGAGCAGCTTCAAGGAAATCAAGAACATACTTCAAACGGACACGATACCTCCCGGACCTTATGGGAGACAATTTGGACCTCGAGGGCTACTCAAGGCGGGTATTTATCGATGTGGGAAACGGAAAAGGAAGCAGCGGAATGGAATGGTTTGTTGAAAATTACCCAACAAGGAAACAGAAGTTTGAGATGTACAAGATTGAGACGGTGAACGATGAGATGAGCCTAGAATCTGAGAAAATGGGCATGACGGAGTGGCTGAAAGAGAATGTCAAGGAGGAGGAATACGTGGTGATGAAGGCGGAGGCGGAAGTGGTGGAGGAGATGATGAGGAGCAAGTCGATAAAAATGGTGGATGAGCTTTTCTTGGAGTGCAAGCCAAAGGGTTTAGGGCTAAGAGGAAGGAAGATGCAGAGTAAGAGTGGTAGGGCTTATTGGGAGTGTTTGGCTCTTTATGGCAAACTTAGAGATGAAGGTGTTGCTGTGCATCAATGGTGGGGTTGAAGTTAAAGAACATGGAGACAGAACTGAGAAGAATATTCATCAAATCAGTCTCTTTTTATTCTATTTTATGTTTTTTTTTTTCTCTGTTGTTTCTTTTTGTTAAAGGTCTCTTTTTGTATTTGTGTGTCAATTTGTAATCATCAATATGTTGTTGTGTTTTAAGTATTTTGTGGTGTTTAAGTTTGGGATCTGATGAGCTTAATTACATATCTTTCGTGTTCTCTTGTTGAAAATTTTCTTTTCTTTTTCATTCCACTCACGTTTGATTTAAACTAAAAATATTGTGGCTAAACAAGAATTAACAGATTTTTTTTTTGGTAGGGAGAATTAACAGATTTTGATTGCATAATAAAAGAGATCTCAAAATTAATTATGCATTAAAAGAGTATGTATTTATAAAAATAAATTTTAGTATTTTTCTATTTAGTCGATTTTATGCAAAGTTTTCAAAACTTTTGTGTGCTCATGTTATTTTTATGATTATATATTTATCTTTTTTTTCTGAATATTCTTATTATTATTATTATTATTATTATTATTATTATTATTATTATTATTATTATTATTATTATTATTATTATTATTATTATTATTATTATTATTATTATTATTATTACTACTACTATCTATTATTACTAGGTTATGAATCTCGCGATGTCGAGGGGGAACTCATTTTCAACAAATTTCTGTATTAAATTTACAAAATTATATTTGATTGTATTTATGTATTAAATTATTATGATAATATATTCAAATATTTGAATTATTACACAAAATTAACTATGTTTTAAAGTTATATCGTAAATATTTTTCAAAGATGTTAAAAAAATTTATGAATAAAAATGTAAAAAAGAAGAATTATGACTAAAAACACTTTTGAAACATTTTTTATGAATGTTTAATTATTTATAAGTGACAAAATACATAACGAAGAGTTATAATATAGAGATGAGAAATTATAGCGGGTCAAAACCCAAAAATTCGGCTGGAGTCGGTACTCAGCACGACTTGTGGGTGACTAAGAAGTTCGCCCAAAAATTGGTGTTTTTGTTTGCCCATTGTTTTATAAATGTAAAATTAATATTTATTCTATTATATATATTAAAAAAATATATAAAATTTGATAACATAAATTACATCTATAACAAACAAATAAACATTTACAAGATCTCATAAATTTATATTTATATTGATAAATTAACTGAATAAAAAAATTTCTTCCTTGAATATACATGTGACGAATTGAAATCATTGTTTTTTTCCTAATAATAGAAAGGATTTCTGAATTACTATACCATTTGAAACAGTTTATTTGACGCTTAACATATATTTCGTATATGTGGCCATGCAATCCATATAATAGTTGAGTATCATTTAGTTTACATAGCATGTGTGACCAGGTGTTCTGATATACTTCATGTAGCTGGCAATCTTTTTTCCTTTATTTTAACTTAGAAAAAAAATGTAAGCATTTCTCCTCCTAATTGGGCAACCAATCAAGGAGTTTTTTAATATTTAATGTGTGGTTGACCAAAAAAAAAAACTTAGAAAAAAAGTAATATTAAATCAACAGATTACAAAAGTCTAAAACTTGTTTTCTAAGCTAATGCTTTTCTACTGAGATATAAATAAAGTAAACCTAAAAACTGAAAGAATCAATTTTGAAGAAAAAAAAAAGTCATTTATGGTAGATTTGATGAAGGAGAAACTGCAGTATATAGAGCATAAAATAACGCATCGTTCAACTTCTCCGGCAATGGTGGCATCTGCTTCCATGACTCCGACACATTCTCATTCGAACTGTAATATCAAAAAGAAAATTAATGATATACTTAAAACAATCAAGAGAATTAAACATAGACATCATGAAATAATTTTGCAGAATTGATGATTAATTATGATACTTACTTTTGGATAAGGCTATTGATGTTCTCCCGAATTTTGCTGAAAAGGTCCAAGTTTTCTGTGGGCTGTATAAGAAAAGAAACAAAAAGGAAAATAAACCAAGCTTTCTTAGTGGTTTTAGTATCTAAACTAAATTGGTCAATATACTTACGCTTAAGGATGTGTAATTTGCACAAATCTGATTGAAGCATTGCTCATTCTGTTTCAGAAGCTCGTTGTCAACACCTACATATCATTAAATGATGGCACTTTAAGAATATTTCCATATCTTTTTTTTTTGAGAAATAAATTTCCTAAAATCTTGAAGATTCGTTGAATCAAATAGATACTTAATTACCATGTTGAGATGGTTGAAACACTTGTGATGGTTGTAACACTTGTGAAGCCACCACCATATCAATAATCTCCTGAAGAAATCAAACGTAAAACAGAAATTACATAAACAAGATGTGGTTAAACCTAAATTTAGAAGATTTAGATAAGATGAGAAGAGAGAGAGAGAGAGATAGATTCTATGACTAAACCTTATTGTCAACGCTGGCTCTTCCCAATCCATTGTGATCTTCTTTTCTTCTCTTGGCGTTTTCTTTATTCTGCAACAAAAACAAAATCAATGATTAATTAATTATCAATCAAGAAGAACAAAACTTGACGAAGAAGAAACAAGGAGAAGACTTTACGTATATCCATCTGCTACGTATAGCAACGTCCCTGATGGTCTTGTCATGAAACGTTGCCGCGATTTTCGAATAACGTGTAACAGAACTACACGATTCCGACGAATAACTTCACGAAAGACAAACAATATTAGAACAAGAAGAAATCAACAAAATCGTAAACCTAAGTTTGATTCTGATGAAACTAAAAGCAAAAAAAATGAACGTAAAGAATTCACAAACCTATCAAGGAGTCGAACCAGAGATTCGTCTTCTTCAGAGGTCCAATTCATGGCGATTCCCGAGAGACTTATCAACGATGAGCTCCCCGACGGCGTCGTCAAGTTGTCGTTTGTCGAGGGAGGATTCGCCATCAAACACACACGCACCAAAACCACCTAACAAGAACAAAGTAAAGAAACAAAATCTAAAGCCCTAGTTTCTCGTATAAATAACGAACAATGTGTAAGGGTGCGGATATATAGCTGATATACATAAATGAAAAAAAATAAAAATAAATCAAATATTTAGGTAATCTTGAGAATGATAGAAGAGTTGTACGGAAATATCGAAGATATAATTATAAAAATAAATAATGGAATATTAAAAAGAACAAAAAAACAACGTAGTCGACGAGATGCTTGATTTCTTTCTCTCTTTTTTTCCCCGAATTATTTGGTTTATTGATATTTCACAAGATCCACTTCAGAGTTAAAAACGGCACAAAAAGCGGATGAAAGACATGAGATAGCTTAAGGAACGTGTCGGAACAATAAGGATGAGCTGAGGACACGTGTAACTTGCACAACCTCCGCCGCAGGAGACTTCAAATCCGGTGAATCTTTAGAACGTCGCCGGAACAACGAATCTTTTTTTTCTTTTCACCGATTATGGCAATCACGAGTATCAGGACAAAACATCAATATACTAATTGATAAGTCCACTCAAATTGAATCTCTGAAATCTTTGCAACAGCACCAAAAGGCAAATCAAATTTGCATAGGAACTGTCTTGAAAACTACGGCGAAGAAAACCACCGGCAGATCCAACAAAGCTATCAACACACAGCCTCGCCGGAAAACCACCGGAACCGAAAACAACAAATCCCAACGGCTAACCGAAAAAGTTGTTGCCGTTATTGGTTTATGTTGGATATGGGCTTCACCCATTAAATGCCATTTGGCCCAAACAGAGACCCAATCATTTATTGGGCCTGTTGTTTCTCCAAACCAGCCCGTCAAGCTCGGGAGGGTAAAATGGTAATTTACGGGAGAAGCACAAAGGACAAGTCATAAACCTTGTCCTATAAATAGAGGACTAATGATGAGAAGAAAAAAGGGGGGAGAATGAGAGAATTATTCATAGCGTATACTGTCGTTCGTAGTTCTGTGCGTATACGTTCGTTGGTTGTTCGTAGTTATTTGCGTATATCTTCGTTCGTTAGTCATAGTTCTCTGCGTATACGTTCGTTGGTTGTTCGTAGCTCATAGTTTGTACGTTCGTCATTTGCTCCCTGTAACTAACCGATCTCGTTCGTCGTTAATAAAGAAGTCACTTCGTTCTCCCCGAAAATCCTATAGTTATTTGTTGTTACAACCTCGGTACAAACAATTGGCGCCCACCGTGGGGTTAGTTCGAAGCTTTTCTTTGGACGAACGACATTGATGTCCCAAGAAGATCAAGACGACATGACGAACACCTCAAGCGATCAAGGAACAGACACGAGCGTACAACCAACGCCCGACGCGATGGTGCTACCTCCGGAGAACCCAGCGGCCGCTCGAGCCGAATCACATCTTATGCGTACCGAACGACATCCAGCCGCACCTGCCACCGTAGCAGCAGTAGCAGCAGCCGAAGTAGCAGACGCTGCCGACAACTCCGCCCTCGGACATGCCGTAGCAGCCAACCGAGGCACCAACCTGGATGACCTTGTGCAAACCATCTTGGACCGACTTGATGGTCAAGACGCGCGGACGACCGAACGGATGGACGCTCTCGTAGCTGCGCAAGTTGCCGCCCAAGCTCAAATTGAACGACTCCGACGACGTAGGCGTGACTCTCAACATCGCGACGACCAGGAAGGACTGCCGTCTCCACGCACCCCTGCTGCCGAACGCTCAGAGAACCAACGCCGCCGGCCGGCGTCGATTATCATAGGATCTGTCGACGAGCATCCTCGCGAAGGCTTGCCGCACGGCCATACCTTGCCAAGCAGCCGAAGTCTCCAAAACCAACCTGCTGAGAGTAGCGACCCAACGCGCGATCTGGAGCTGGAACGTATGGACACAATACTGAAGGAAATGTCATCCAAAATGCACCGAGCCACCAGCTCCGCGCCAGAACTTGAGAAGGTACTGGAGGAGACGCAGCGGTCACCCTTCACAACACGCATCTCAGAAGTACGCGTCCACCATGTCAAAAACAAGGTCAAGCTTATTCCCTACAACGGTCTCACTGACCCGAAGCCTTTCCTGAAGTCTCTCAGTATTGCGATCAACCGCGCCCATTTCTCCGCTGTGGAGCGTGATGCTGGTAGCTGCCAGTTATTCGTGGAAAACCTGATCGAAGACGCGCTAAGCTGGTTCTCACGACTCGAGGCCAATACGATCGACAGCTATCACCAGCTTACCTCCGTTTTCTTGCAACATCACTCAATATTTATGGTTAAGGGTGCTTCGAATGCCGACTTATGGACCATGTCTCAAAAGGATAAAGAGCCGTTGAGAGAATTCATCGAACGATTCAAGAAGGTCGTTTCCAGCATTGCCATAACTGACGATGCCGCGATCGCCGCTCTACGTAACGCATGCTCGTATGAGTCCCGATTCAGAGAAGATCTCGTAATTACTCAACCAACAACATTGGAGGATACTCTGCATCGCGCTAATCGATTCATCGAAGTCGAAGAAGAGAAGGCCGCGATGGCAAAACGACAACCCAAAGCATCGAGTTCGAAAGATAAGTCCCATGACGATCACTATGAACCTCATCAACACTACGATAAGGATTATGCTAAAAGTGATAAAGCTAAGAAAGCAGCGACGTATGCCATTGATGGTTCAGACTCACAACCTTCGAAACCATGGAACAAATATTATCGTGAAACAGATCCAAAACGTAATCAAGCGTACTACGAGTTCCATAAAGTCTCTGGTCACTCAACCGATGAATGCCGACAACTCCATCTATTACTTCTCTCAAAATTCAAAAAAGGCGACCTCGATGTCGAATATTAACGATGCCAAGTAGCCGCTCACAAGGATAATTTATATCATCCAGTTCAAAAGGATGACCATAACAGACACAATGACCGACAGCGAACAGAAGAGCCTCGCCTGAACGAGCGTGCTCGTGATAATGATCGACGACCCGAACCCCCTAAGCGAAACCGTGATGGACCATGGCATGACGATAATCCACCTATTCCGCGGAATCGCATTCACATGATAATGGGCGGTTTGACGACATGTCGAGATTTTGTCCGATCAATCAAAAATTATCGTCGCCAAGCCGAAGTTCACCGTGATTAGATCGCCAATAGCGCACCAGTTCTCGATAATACCGAACCAATCACGTTCACGGAAGCCGAATTAATAATCGACGAAAGTGCCGTCACCAAAGTCCTCATTGGCACGGGCAGCTCGATTAATGTCATTTTCAAGGATGTTCTCATTCAAATGGGAGTAGATTTTCGATCGACCGAACATAACGTCCAACCATTACTTGGCTTTCACGGAGACACGGTCATGACTGTCGGCACTATCATGCTGCCAATTTACGTCGGTGGAATGATGCACTGCTTCAATTTTGCAGTCGTCGATAAACCAATCGTTTATAATGTCATCCTCGGTACCCCATAGTTGTACAAAATGAAGGCCGTCGCATCTACTTACCATCAATGCGTCAAATTTCCGACCGTACATGGAATCTACACGTTGAGGGGTGATCCGCTGGTAGCACGTACCTGCTTCATAATCGAGCGCCAGCTACGGAACATAAGGGCTTTCGTGATTGCCAAACCTGCTCAGCAATGCAACGCGCAATCTATCCCACCAACCGAATCTATGATCCAAGTCAATATCGATACACGTGATCCTATTCGATGCGTTAGTATCGGTTCCGACCTACCGATCCAAGATTATTGTGACTCACAACTTGTTGCCAATCAATTCAGTGGCGATTATGAAGCCAAAAATGACCGAATGGACGCTTACCTCAAAGTCGTCCGTGACCTATCCCGCAACTTTGAACTCTTTGAACTCAACAAGATTCCGCGAAGCGATAATGCGCCTGCCGATGCGCTACTGTACTTGCATTTACGTCTGATCCCGACCTTCGTTGCATCATCCTTGTCGAAAGCATCGATCAGCCTAGCATCGATCTAATTATTGCAGCATCCGCACCGCCTGCGCCAACTATCGGCCCTAACGTACATCCGATCATCTACTCGCTCAACAAACTAACGGCTTCAACTTGTTCCGCAATCACTCAACTTCTTCTACCAAATAATGTATCTACAAACACTCCACAAGCCGACACGACCGACTCTGACTGGCAAACAGAAATCCGCAACTATATTGCCGACGGTATCGTGCCGGCGGACAAATGGGCAGCTCGACGTCTACGAGCACGCAACACGCAGTACACACTGTTTGACGGTAATCTTTGTCGTTGGAACGCTGCCGGAGTACTCCTCTCCTGCATCTCCGGTGACGCGACTCTCCAAGTCATGCGTGAGATCCATGAAGGCGCCGGTGGCAATCATTCCGGAGGTCGAGCGCTAGCACTCCGAATCCGAAAACATGGCCACTATTGGCCCACCATGATTTCGGACTACAAGAAGTTTGTCGCTCGTTGTGAAAAATGTCAGCGTCACGCTCCCATCATTCATGCACCAACAGAGCTCTTACAAACCGCAACACCTCCATACCCATTCATGCGGTGGACAATGGACATCGTCGGACCCTTTCCTGCATCCCGTCAAAAGAAGTACCTTCTGATCATGATGGATTATTTCACTAAATGGGCCGAGGCGGAGTCATATGCTCGTATTCAGTCAAAGTTCGACGATTGATCTGCTCTCACATCGTCAAATCACAAGTATAAATCAACGCCAACGTACTTAACAAACGAGCTCTTTCGAACGAGTCCGTCTCGACGATTGACCAGCTCCCACATCGTCTCCCTGGCCAGGAGTTCGATTTAAACGCGTTCCACATGGATGCAGTGGCGAAATAATCCACATCCTTACTTCGGTAAGGACTAAAAGCCGAGCCAGTCTCGCATTAGCTAGCAGGCGGCCGAATCATAATAAGCCAAGCTCCGGCTTGCACGTTCTTGCCGACCTCATAGCACCCACAGGATAAGCCGGACACCAGAACCGCACCTATATAGTACGACGAGTCCGCCTCGTCTACTTTCCACTAAGTTCATCGTTTCGGCTCAAACGT